GAATCACAGCGCCACGCGCGATTTGGTAACTGGTTAGTAGGCCTGTCAACGGGTCATCTGGATCTGGGAAATTCCCCTGGGTTCAAAGAAACAGTTCGTGAGCGGATTCTTAACAGGATATACAAGGGCCCAATTTGGGGATGTGTTACGGCGACCAGCGATCGTCAAAAAAAGGAAGATGACATACGCTTTTCGAACAGCTGTCGAGCGCACGCTACGACAGTGGGGGTGGTGGCGGAGGCATCGTAAGGAGACGGATGGCTGTGACGGAGACGGACGGCCACAGACTCGACGATGACGATGACGACGACGACACGACGACGAGCACGAGCGCGAGTTACGGACCGTAGTAGGAAGGACAACGGAGAAGGGCCATGTGCAACCCATCAGACATCTGCTACTCGGGTGGTAGGGAGCGGTGGGTGGCGGCTGTTGCTGATGGATACGGCTGTCGGTCGGTCTATATCACAAACTGTTTTTATGACAATGATCGAATCATCAATGATTCCATGTCAAGGTACTCAAATCAAGAACACCTACACTGTAGATGACCAATGAAATTGCCGTTCAAGGACGTCCCGAGACTTTGCAAAGGAATTCCGCTGGATTTTTCACATTTCTCCTTTGATGCCCGCTGATAATACCGTTAAGTTGGTTCAAATGCTGAAAATCGTGGTGATGTCCGTTAACGGGGAATCATTAAGCGAGAATGTACTCGGGATTCTTCGACCTATCAAGGACGTTCGTCTACTCTACCCACCCTCTGACACACCTATCACCAGTGCCTGCCCTTTAGGTATTGAGAAACACCGTCGGACCTGGGTGCATACGTACAAAAGCGAACGTCCTCTTCAAGGTTGAAATCGAGCCATACCGAGGACAGGATTTCAAGAACCCCCCATTGAACCCTTAATAGCATATCCCCCCATAGATGTTCTGGCTGAAGGTCTAGACGGTTAAGGGGTGATGTGACGAGAGGTGAAGGGAACAACCATGGAAGAATGGTTAGGAGAGAAGGTTTTGTATGGGGCGATAACCGGTTTGGGTGAGTGAGGGTCAAGCCGTTCTGCAGATTAGCGCATACAATCATTTTCTTTGCCTTTTCTGAGCAGTACGGATGAAAATAATGGAAAGGAAAATGAATAAAAGGAAAAGAGAAGGAAGTAGAAGTTCTGTAAGCTGAAACGTATGGAATTCCCAAGGACTGATGGATATACCGACGTTTTTTTCCCCACGATCATCTTCAGGGTTGTTCTGGTTTTCTTAATTCGGAACGTCGACCGGTCGTTGAAACGGCAAAAACTGCGTCACACAATTTCGCTGAAATATTGCTCAAGGGCAATTGCGCAGAACACCAGGCGTGAGAGGGACCGAACCGACGTTTCACACACCTTCTGAAGACTCTTCTTTCACCTGGTTTCAGCACGACCGTAGGATACTTAGCAACAACTCCCCACTAACCACTATCCGTCCCGAGATTATGATTCTGAGCTTCTAATACCCATCAGAATGCAAACTTCGAAGCGAAAATTTGAGATACTCAATCCGTTACTCTGAATCTATTACGGTGATGATAGAAGTGAAGTAGTGATTAGTCCGATCTTACAATGAACAAGTGCTACACAGCGCAAGCACCAAGGAGACTCTTCCGCTGCCTGCGTGCGGCTGCGTAGCGGTTCGAGTTTTGCACATTCATTTCTTTAGCGCACAGTTTGCACGCTGTTTCCGAATATGATCACGATTTTCACGTGTTCCCCTAGCTACCTCACCATTTGCCCTGTGCCTTTACCAGGAGCCCCATTTCCATGCGTAGTATGTAGGACGGGTGTAAGTTTGGGCATTCAAGTAAGGTTACACCGTGAAAGAAAATATATGCCTACAGAAGTTTCGCGAAATTTCTCCCGGTTTGTATAGTTACTCATTTAGGTGACTTACTGATTCCAGTGAAGCACCCTACTCCTGAATGATGAGCTGTTCCGCCAGGTATGGAGCCCAAGGGTCAACGATAGCATGGATATCATCCGAGAGGATCTCTTTCAAACTCAATTACGTGTCCCTGAGAAAGGACCCTATGCGGGAGTCAAACAGCATTCACTAGCGGCAAAAACCCAGAGGAGAGCTCGTTCCCATCAGCGCCTCCCACTCCCGTTCCGGTTATGGCAACCCACAAAGAGCAGGTGAAAATACAATGACGTGAGCGGAAGGGCTTCTGCTGAATAGCCGAGTTGCTGATGATAGTTTGAAAGTGTAATGGATGGTAGCAGATAATTGGAGTGTGTGTTCCGTTGTAGATCCGCCTACTCTATGAATGGATTTGTTACGTTTGTTCTGACGGTCCGAAATTCGTTTACACAACTGCGCAGCTGTCGAAAAAAAAGTGTCCTATGGGATTTTTTGGCAAGCAAAATATGCAGACGCTTAGGTATTGTTCCGTAGCGCTACAGTACCCGCAAGTATTACAAACACACAAAAAAACAGCTTTCTCCGGTTTGCAAGACTTACTGGTAACGACTGTTGGTAACCCCGCTTTGTTGAAAAATCGAAGAATGCTGGTAATAACGGTGATGGCTCAAACGCCCCGCTCCATTAGGAACGAATAGGAAACGATCTACCGATCTACTAGTTCCTCTTCTGAAGCCGTAACAAGTATTCTTTCTTACTGATAATTCTAGAAGTATGAGTATATTACCTGGAGTTGACAAGCTTTCACCATTACTCGATTATGCTGAGTTTATATGCGCTCTGCAACTATTTCGGCTCCAAGCAATGAAGTTAACGTGCTCTAATCGTGATGCGCGCGCGCCGGACGCAATTTTTCAGGGTTTTTATCTATTCCTGTGAATACGGAAACATATTTTGAAACTTCGCGGAAATATCAAGTTGGCAACTAGGTAATTGGTAATTGCATAGTTAAAGAAATATTATTACCCTTTCTTACAAAAACGAAATGTCTGCTCAGTTTGCCATAGAACACCCAAGTACTTCGTCTATGAATATAATTTACTCCGAAAAATAGGTAGTTACTTTTTGAAATGAGTAGTTAAAGTACTAAGAGAATACGCAGCTACTCAGCTGCCAACCTAATACACAAAAAGATTATGAAATGAGGAAAAGGAAGTAGCGTAGGTATGTGCTGCCTGGAGGTGGGTTTGAATTCCAGACTTTCACTTTGTTTTTTCCAAAAAAATTGAGAGATCAAGTTCCTAAAGAGCAATAGGGTTCTGAAAGGAAAAAAAAATCGGAAGAAGGAGAATTTCCTGCTACGAAACCATGAAAAGGGCCGATTCAAGGAAATTTTTATGAGGGCAGATGGAAGAGCAATTCGAAACATCTCACAAGTAAAAAATAAAAAAAAAAACCAGTTTCGCGGTAAGCATGAGCAAGCAAATATATATTTATTTACCAGTGAAGCTCAATACTGGTATCTCGATACTCTACAACGTTCCTGATTGAATAAATAAAGCAGTGCGTAGAGCCGAAAAGGCAAATATGCTTTGGAGGAGTCTAAATCATGTTACTATGAGTAAACATCATGATGCCATAGTATAAGTTTGTAAACACTCCCTTAAGAATCGAAATGCCTTTTCAAAAAAAGCAGGTGAACTAATTGATGAGAAACGGAAGCAACAGAAAAAAAGGGTGCAACAGAAAGAACAATTTGCTGTGATTGACATATTGATTGATTTTTCCGTTTCACGCAGCGCCCACGTGCTGCGTGAAGACAAAGCATGGACGCTCCGTGAAAGTGCGCCGCTGCTCATACCTGTGTGGGTTGTGGGTTTGTCAAAAGGATTGGGGAGCTTTCAAAAGAGGTCGTCATTCGCCCAAGCTCTGTATTTGGGAATCAAGGAAGTCAATTTATACCCACACACCTCTGAAACTTCATATGCTTGAGGAAAGCGGGCTGATTGCCCCAATTTTGAATGGCGAGTTTGGCACTTTTGCAGATTCCCTGTGCTAATAGTTCAATGAGGAGCCGCAGGGAAAGTGAAACAGAGAAGTTCGATAAAATGGGCACTAAACAACGACGACCTTGTAAAAGCCATACGAGTGCGGCGGCCGCCGGCTGGTAAAACTCTCCGAAAATTGCATTGCCACTTGTGTGTGTGTGATGGACACTTTCAGTCCCGATTAGTGTCGCGTCTGACAGTGATAGGACGTAAGTGCGGTCAACTGAAATACGGCCATCTAAGGTAGAGCCCATAAATTTTAGGTGGGTGTTCATGGGTAGGCCGTACACGAGCCGAACGGGGACTTTCCCTCTTTGGCTGAGGGGATAACGTTGAGAGGTCGAATGAGAGTGAGATGTAGTGCGAATCGGCTTTGCAGACCATTTCACTTGAATGCTACGGTGTCAGGTCGCGAATTACGAGTGACTCACATACACACATACATTCGTTGCTAGTTCCCTTTTCCCCTCTTCCGATGTGCCGCTCACAATGATGACCTGGTCCAGTTTCTGGCACAGTAATGGCGCTGTTTAGCCCATTAGTAACCGTTCTTAATGTGTATACCGGAGCTGGTAATTTTAAAATAAACGAGACAACCCACCACTGTGCCTAAGAATGAGAAAGTAAAATGTAGGAACTCCCGAGTGCTAAACTGAACCTCCGAAACTCGCGAATCGACTTTATCGACATCTAATTGTTCAGCGAATCGTCTTCTTCAACGATCTGGCACAGATGGAGCCCTGGGTCGTTGAAGGCACAATTTACGACGAATTTAAGGCACCTTTTTCAAGATGAAAAGCGGATGGTGAAGTAGCATCAGTGGCGATGAAAGCGAAATGATAGTCAGGACTTGTGAAATACTCTTCAAAGTAGTGTAAAGAGGGGTTTTACTAGATTACCAGAACCGAAATGCGATGGAAGGGGCATTCGAACGAGATTTCAGTTGTTGTAAATGCGTCAAGAGCTGAATACATCAAACCATAATAGTCCAATACTGCCTCGACTGTGGCCGTGGGTCACGACTAGCTGTTTGAATTCCCACCATGGATGCCCATGTGAATTGTGCTGCCCCCACAATGCCAATGGAACTCGTCCGCTTTCGGGAGTGGTATCCAGCCGATACAATCTCTGAGCTCCATAATCGCCCTTTCTAGGTCGTTTTTTGATCTAAGAGCGTCATATATGTCATATTTAGATGCCAATAATTCATTTTAGGGTGGTATCTCATAGATCATTGCCTCGTGAACTGTGCCTTCTTGTGGAAGGAATTCGAAGGTGATAAGGATTCCCGATTCACAACGTTTGCCGCCAGGAATCCATGGCTGGATCTCACTTGACTGCGAATGTTCCAGGCAAGAGAACTTGATGGAAGCCATCAGATAGGAGCCGAAGCTACAAAACTTAACAGAATGAAGTTGAAGCCTACTCCAGTAATCTCCAGTAGCGATAATTCAAATGCGAGCCGGCATTATGTATGAATTTATCGGTGAAAAAGAATTGATATGAGACTGAAGGCTGAACAGAAGGATCGACTTCATGTCAACTGCATGTGAAACAACAAAGTTACGCTGCTGTCCTAGAAATTGGCACACCTGCTGCTACAGGCCACTAGGTCATACAGGTAAGAATAAGTGGAAAAGTAAAATGTTGGAACCATGGCTAGAGTCATCGGAAAATGTCAAGATGTTCTGGTTGAGATTGATGTAAACAATTACTGTAACACGTTTACAGCGAACTAACTGGATATACAGCCAACTG